GTGAGGTGGTCGTCCTTTGTGATACTATACATTTTTCTCAGGAGGAGGAAGTGGTTCACAGTCTCGCATGTCATGGACTCCACTTTGCAGCCCCATTTCTTCTGGTGGTGCTTCCATTGCTGGTGGTTACTTCCCGGCGGATGTCACGTGGTGCAATACCGGCTAATCAGTGTAATTTCTCCAGTGGTGCAGGGCGCAGACATCCTGTGATAGTGCGGCATATCTCGTGTTTTAGCGTGGTGAGATGTGTTCCACACTAGGCACACCCCATGGACATGTCCGAGAGCCCTGCTAATGCCCTCCACAAACAGACATCCCAGTGTTCCTTACTCTCTCCATTAGTGTGGAATTTGCATGACCCCCCTCCCACTGCGCCTCTCTTAACACTTTCCTATTCTTTTCTATGGCACACAACCAACAAAGGAATTGATCAGCAACTGAACATACTAGAGAAGTTTGGGGAGAACTCACGATGTAAGTACTGGGATGTATAGTTCACTTGCAGTCTAAGATCACTCTGAATTCCACCAATGATGGACCTGGAACTAACTTGGCACAAATGAACCATGTAATGCACATAGAGCCCCCGTGACCAGCAAAAAATACTGGAGGTCTGATACTGAAAATTCACCTTGATTTGGAGAGTTGTAGTTCACCTACATCCAGAGAGCACTGTGAACCCAAACACCAATGGATCTGGATCAAACTTGGCACACAGACCTGATATGCCGAAATTTGATGACTGGAGGGGTTTGGTGGGAACTGACCTTCTTTTCTGGGAGTTGTAGTTCACACACAACCAGAGAAACTGTGACCTTCGCCGATGATGATGGACCTGGACCAAACTTTGTGCACAGAACCCCCATGACTAACTCAACCTGCTGGAGAGGTTTGAAGGGACTGACTCAGCATAGTGGGAATTGTAGTTTACCCTACAGCCAGAGAGCACACTGAATCCCACTGATGATGCATCTACATCAAACTGGCCCAACATAACAAACTTGAAGTATTGAGGGAGTTTCTCAGGGTTAACCTAGCATGATGGGAGTTGTAGTTCATCCACATCCTTATGCATTTTGGACTATTAAAATATTGACTTTTTCAAATACTGTGTTCCCAAGCTAGTAGTAGTAGGCCGAAACTGCATTCCTTTAAACCGCGGATACGGAAACCCATTGGGTCCCCGTATCCGCGAGTCAACGGATAGCTTCGAAATTGGTGTCATTCTTCTCCTGGGAGAATTCTAAGACTAATGGCTATCTTGGTTTCGCTCCGCTAACCCCTCCACCATTTTTGCCTCCAAAACCTCAACCTGGAGCCCAGCTGTTTTCCTGAAGATACTGCCGTGTTGCCACCATTTTGTGGATGCCCAGGGAACCTGCCGATCCTGGGAAACTGTCACGGTCACCCCATAGGATCCCCAAGATGTCAACGGGCCACCTTGGTCCTTGGTGAGGAGGGATCTATAGTTCTCTCCGAGGATCTTGATCTCCAGCGCTGGTAGTCACCTCCTAAGAACCCTATGGACTCTGGGACACCTTTTCCAACTTGCCTCTCATGGATTTTACAACTTTTATCAACTTTT